GCTGTCTGCCTCGATAATGAATAATACTCAAGGCCTCCAAGGGTTATGGCTAGGACTATGGTCTGGTGCACTGGAGCAATTGTGCTCTGAAGCTTGGGAGGAGTTGTAAAATGACTCAGAGGTTTGAATCATAATTTATCCACTCCCTAGCTGTGTGGCCTCTCCAGAGCCTCTTCTAAATAGGGGGCTGTAATGGTTCCCACCTATGAGGACTATGGAAAGAGTTACCGTAACAATGCCTTTCTCTCATCCCTAAAACACTGGAGCCCTAGGCCTGGCAGATCTGAGATCTAGCCTGACTTCCCTCTACTTTCTGTCTCCTGGCGCCCTCCATTTTACTCACGAATGCAGACCCTCTCATAGGCCAAGGTCCTCACTACCTCAGGGCCTTTGGACTTCCTGTTCCTTCTGCCGGAAACATGATCCCTCCCTCCGCTCTCTGCACAGTGAGCTAAGGCTCCCCCTCCTCCTGGTCTCAGATCAGATATTGACTGCTGGCTAGGAGGCTGTCCCTGAGTGCCCAGCAGGAACAGCCACACCGCACCCTGCTGGGACTTGGGGATTTGTGTGTGGCCTTGTTTCTGGTAGGGACTTTGATGAATGCTTGATCACAGCCTCAGAGCCAGGTGTTGAAGGGCAGATGTGGGGTGGACATCTACCCCACCTGGCTCTGGGGACACCATGGGGAGGTTTCTAGGCCAGACTTTCCGTCAGCCTCATATTCTCCTATTGGTCACACATGTATAGCACACAAGAATAATTCTTCCCCACATTCAGGAGGCTGAGGCAGGGGGATTGTGAGTTTGAGACCAGTCTGCGTTATGCAGGGAGATCCTGTGTCGAAGCAATAAGTTCTTATGAAGGAAACTTCAGAGGAGGGAATGGGGTTAGAGGGAGATCTGGGACCGAGAGACTTTTAAACAGGACATCTCAGTTAAACCCACAGGTTGGTGAGGAAGTCAAATGCATGGAGCCTTTGGGTAGAGGAGGTGACTGGCACAAATGTCCCGGGGCAGGATGGCTGGCATGCTCTAGAATTAGGGGCGTTACATAGCTAAGCAGAGAACCGAGGAGAAGGAAGGGCTGTGTGAAGCCTGGGTAGGATCAGGACTAGGTCATCCACTGGAGGACTTTCCTTCATTGTATCAGCGCTAGATGGACTGTATCAGTCAGGCGAGGCTGCTGCCTGACTCAGTAACAAATAGCACTCAATGCCTCCGAGGGTTATGGCTAGGACTTATGGGCTTGTGCGCTGAAATAATCAGAGAAGCACCCTGGGATGAGTCGTGAAACAACTCTGAGGTGCGAATCTTGGTTTACCTTGGTTTTTGCTTGGAGGCCATTTGGGAGGCTGAGGCCCCTGATCTGACTGGGTTCTGGTGGCTTGGGAGGGAGAATGGGGGCTGGGCATCGAGACCATAGAGAGGCCTGCTGGGGTAGTCGAGGGCTGATCATGGAGGACAGGACCAAGAGGAGGCCCCGAGATGGGGCAATCGATGGGACTTCGTGTCTAAGGGCGGCATTGGGAAGGAGGGTGAAGGGTCGAGAGGCACAGAGGTCTCGGGCTGGCCCAGGCAATTTGCCCTCCCCCCCCAGGCTCTTCTGGAGCTGGGGGCTCAGCTCTCCGCTTTCCTGTCCCCGTTGGGCCGCTGACCCGAGGGTCCCCTGTCTCCCGTAGACTATGCCACCGTGCAGACTGTGGGGATGACCCTGGCCACTATCATGTTCGTGCTGGGAATCATCATCATCCTCAGTAAGTGCCCTCCCCACTCGCGGGTCCCCAAACTAAGCGTCCCCCCACCGTAGAGGGTCTCCTGCTGGCCCCACCCACCCCATGCTTACCGGTGAAGGCTCCCCCCCACTAAACCTGCCCTGTCTCTCCCTACCCACCTGCATCGCTCCCTGCTGTCTCTTTTCCTAACAGGCAAGAAAGTGAAGTGCAGGAAGGCGGACTCCAGGTCTGAGAGGTGGGGCAGCCTGGGGGACTGGGGTGGAGACCCCTAACATAGGGCCCAGGGAGCCCAGCCACCCTGCTAAGCTTCTCCCCTCTTTCTCTCCACAGCCCAACATGCAAATCCTGTAAGTCGGAACTGCCCTCTTCAGGTGAGCATGGCTTTGCCAGGGAGGGTGGGGGACCGGATGGGGTGGGGGTAGGGACGGGGGGGGACATGACCCACCAGGCTGCAGCAGATTCAAGGTCCTTTGGGATTGAAGCTGCGGGGCGGGGGGGGGGGTTCCAGCAATATCTCAGGGAGGAGGTCCCAAAGAAATGCAAGTGTCAGAAAGCTTGGTGGGTGGGGTGTGGCTGGGGAAGTCTTTGAGGATGGAAGTAGCCTGCTAGCACTTGGGAAACCCACACAGGCTTCCCCTCTTCCTTCCAGTGAGCCCGCAGGGAAGAGAAAGCAAGAGGGAGAGAGGAGAGGCTGGGCTTCTGAGTAAGGGCACTCGGGAGAAGTGTGGAATACAGCCCTAAAGACGGAGGGAAGGCTCGGAGGGTGATGTGTACCTTTAATGCTGGCACTTGGGAATTGGAGTGGGGTGGAGAGACTGCATCTCCGTAAATTCCAGGCCAGCCAGCCAGGGCTGCAAAGTGAGACATGGTCTCAAAAACAAACAAACAAACAAACAAACACTTAACAACGAAGCAAAACAAAAGATGAGGTTTGGGGGAACATGCTACTGGGGATGAAGCCCTGGATCTAATCCCAAGCATGGCCTAAACTGGGCATGGTGCCTGTCCAGCATCTCAGCACTCTGGAGGTGGAGGCAGGAGAAACCAGGAGTGTGAGGCCATTCCTAGCTATAGAGAGAGTTAGGGGGTAGCCTGGGCTACACAAGACTGTGTCTCAAAAACAAAAGGGTTCCAGCAGGAAGGAAGCCGGGAATGGGAAGCTGGTGTAGGAGAGAGAGAATGGAGGGTCAGCTCAGAGGGACAGGAAGGTGATAAAGACAGGCGGGGAGGTAATGGGGTGGGGTGGGGGGAGGGAGGGAGGATGAAAATTGAGAGGAGAGGTTGTACATGGTAAACTTCCGGGTGACTATTAGCAGAATTACCTCCCTCCTAGGGATTTTATTTTATTTTTTTATTTTTAAATTTATTTATTTATCATGAATACAACATCCTGACTCTATGTATGCCTGCATTCCAGAAGAAGGCACCAGATCTCATTACAGATGGTTGTGAGCCACCATGTGGTTGCTGGGAATTGAACTCAGGACCTCTGGAAGAGCAGTCAGTGCTCTTAACCTCTGAGCCATCTCTCCAGCCCCTCTCCTAGGGAATTTAGTGGGGCAAAAAGATTCAGAGGTGGGATTCTCTTCCTCTTATGCCATCTCTCTTTAGTCTTGGCTGTCCAGGAACTCACCGTGTAGCCCAGGGCAACCTCAAACTCACAGCCAAACCCCTGCCTCAGACGTCCAAGTGCTAGGGTTACAGGTGTAAGCCAGTTTCCCTTTAAACTCTCACAACAAAGGGTGGTGCTCTGAGGAGTTAGGTTATATGAGGGAAGGCCGGGTGAGAAATTATGTCTTGCTCCATGCCTTCCTAATGAGAGTTAAAAACATCAGAGGTGTCTGTGGTGCCGGGGAAGGTGTTTGGCCCAACTTTAGCTGGGGCATGAGAAAGAGGTGGCCTGCCCTAGAAGGGAAGTCGAGGCCCGGAGGATGCCCGCTGGATGCCCGGGTTGTCCAGAGCATATCTAGGAAAGGAGCGAGTGGGGGGTGTAGCATCAGGTGGGGGACTCTTTCTGCCAAGGAGACTTTGAGCACGCAGGAACACCCAGGTCATCCTTAAGTGTTCACCACAGCTAGATTCCCTTACTCCGTGGCCCGAGATGGAGCAGACAGCAGCCGAGAAGATGCCCCTGTGCATGGTGACCAGGCATCGGGGTTGGGAAGACATGAGGAATCCCCAGAGCTAGCCAGAGGGAGACCACCCCTGGATTCTGGGTCACTGACACGGGTTCTCTTCTGTTCCCAGCACCTGGAGGTGGTGGCGTGTAGGACCCTCTGCAGATCTCCACTGCTGTCCCTGGCCAGAGCGCAGGAGCCCGAGGACCGGGTGAAGGCGGTGGGGACCCAGCCTGGCGCCGGGGAGTGTGCCCCCAATGAGCCGCCACACCCACCCCAAGGCCGGAGCCATGGCATCCCGCTCTCCCTCCCCAGGCCTTGGCAACGACGATTCCCCAAAGAGTCCATTCGCACCCCAGACCCAGAGACTCAGGCCTCCAGCTCCTGGGATCCAGGAGTCCATCTCCAGTTCCCTGGGACCCTCGTGTCCCTCCTTCCTGCATCTCCTGGTCTCCTCCAGGACCCTCCTGGCTGTCCCCACAGGGTCCACGTCTTGAGCTTAATAAATGTGCATTCATTTTCCCCCCGTTCTGTCTGTGTGTTGTCGTCTGTGGGTACCCAAGGACCGGGTGGGAGGCTGAGGCGGCTGTCCTGTCCCTTCCTCCTCCTCCTTCAGGGCCTTCTCCGCTCACCACATCCTTCCCTCCAACCCTCCCCAAGGGGCCTTCCGGTCTCTGTACCCTCGTCCCCATCTGTGTCCCCAGACCCTCGAGTGGAGGCCGCAGCCCTGGTGCCCCATCATCCTCCACCGCTCCTGCTCCCACCCCTGCCTGTGGGGCCTGGAAGCTGGAGAGGAAATGACTGAGCCGCTCTGGTCCCCGCCCGCCCGCCCGAGCCCGCGCCCCTGGCCACACCCTCCGCCCCCGAGGCAGCTCCCACGCGGTACTCTCACACTCCAGGCTAGAGACCCTGGGCTCGGATGTAAGTCCCTGCTTTGCTCTACCCTCTGACTGAGGACCACGCGTGCAGGTGGGAAGCAGCTTGGGAGGGAGACCTCGGTGCCTCTCTGCCTCGCCTCGCGTTCATCCTGGTTCCTCTGTGGGTATACCTCCTGCCTCAGCCTCCCCAGAGCGGAGCGTCTCCATCCCGGGCAGACTGTCCCTCTAAGATAGTCCCAGTATGGGCGCGGTGCCTGCAGGGCAGCCGGACACCAGCTCAGTTTTTCCTCTGAGTGCAGCTCCGCATTAGTCACCCTTCCTCTTCCCCTCCGGGCCCCACTGCTCTGGGCTCCTCCAGTCCCGGAGGGAGCAGACACCGCGGGGAGCCCCTGGCTTCCTCTGCCAGGGAACCACCACCGAGAGGCAGGGTCAGCTCCAGCTTCAGGAGCAGGGGTCAGCTTCTCTGCCTCAGGGCTCAGCTCACGGGTCTGGCTTTCTTTGGGGACCAGAGGGGATGGTGGCTTGAGACTCTGGTCTCTAAAAAGTATCCCTTCCCGGAGGCAGGTACCAGGGGGGTCCTTGACGCTGGGGACCTGCTCCAGGGAGGGCGTGGGGCTGCCGAGGCGCCGAGCCTCACTCACCTTTCCCTCCACTCGTCCCACAGATGTCACCGTCCTGGTGCCTGTGTCTCCTCATCTTTGTCGCCCTGATTCTGCTCAGCAGAGGTAAGAAGATGCCCTCCCCCGCCCCCTCCCGCCAGCCCAGTGGGCGGCTAGGTGGCTTCCTGAAAACTGAGTGCTCTGTTCTATCTTCTCACGCCCCTTCCCTGCTGTGAGCCGGCACCAGGAAGTGGGGACGGAGGGGCAGGCCCCGGGTTGCACCCTCTTCGGACACTTCAGACTCCTTCGGGTGGCTGTTTCCAGAGGGTCTGGCTGGAGCCTGTCCTGCTGGGCACCCTCCCTTTTACCTCTGAGAAGGACTCGTTGGAGTTTGACTTGGCTGGGAGGTTGGTGTCGGGTTTTCTGCTCGACAGCCAAGAAACCCCAGGCTCCCATCGAAGCAGAACTGTTGGCGTTTTCTGAGAATCCAGTCAGGCAAAGGGGTCCAGGTGGGGCTAGTGGACACAGCAGGAGACATCCCCCCCCCTAATCTGGAAAACATGTCTCAGAAGGGACAGGCCAGGTGGCACTTGCCAGTGAGTCTTGCGTATTAGCTCACTTAGTTCCCTTCTAGGTGGTGTGGAAACTGATGCTGGTGGGCAAATGTGGGGGCACAGGGAAAGGGAGGAGCTGCCTGTGTGGATCAGAGACGCTGTGGAAGGCTGGGTTGGGGTGAGATCGTTGACGTGAGGTGGGAGGTGGTGATGGGACCGGAGGCAGGGGAACTTGGGGACCAGGTGAACATTTTGGTTTTCCCTGGAGTCAGGTGCAGATGCCCCGGGGCTCTGAGTTTCAGGGTCTGCCCTGACTTGGGTGTCCTCACGGGTACCTTCTGACTGCAGGAGGCCAGAGAGAGGCTGGTGGACACCCCAGTGGGAGGAGACCCGGGTCTAGCCCAGGAAGCAATGAGGAGCTGCCTACAGGTTAGGGAGCTGCAGTGGGTTATTATTATTTTTGTTTTGTTTTGTTTTTTTCGAGACAAGGTTTCTCTGTAGCTTTGGAGGCTGTCCTGGAACTCACTTTGTAGACCAGGCTGGCCTTGAACTCACAGAGATCCGCCTGCCTCTGCCTCCCGAGTGCTGGGATTAAAGGCGTGCACCACCAATGCCCGGCTTGCAGTGGGTTATTAACCCCCCACTTTTCAGACGAGGCAAAGAAGACGCAGAGGGGTGTCAGTGTTCAGGACACACAGTAAGGAGGAAGCGGCTGGGAGTAGGATATGAAGCCATGCCCCTGGCTGACCCTAGCACCTGGCCTCTCTCGAGGCCTCTCTCGAGGCACGTCCTGTGCGAGGATGTGCAAAGGTCCTGGGGCAGGCTAAATCGTCTTCAGGACCATGGAGTACCAGCGGAAGCTGGTTCCCCTGGGAGTCGGGGCCTTCAGAACTGCCAGGAGCCTTCAGAAGGTGGGGCACATACCCCCCCCCCGATTGTCGAGAGGCTCCTTCTAACGGCTCTGCTTTGGTTCCCCAGGGCAAACAGCAGAAAAGGCCACACCCAGTTCTGCAGTGGACCAGACCTCTGGGAATGCTCACGTCCCAGGTAAGGAAAGCAGTGCTCACTGCGGGTAACACCACCACACTTGGACTGAACAGCGAAGTGTTTGCTGTGTGTAACTGCAAAAAAAGACCAGGGGGTGAGCTTGGCTTGATCCAGGCGTTTAAATGCTACTGTCAGGGACCTAACTCTGACTCTGGGTCCTCGGTGCTGGATTCATCCATAGTCATTTTCTCATGGCGAAGAATCTGAAGCCCGGGGAAGGGAAATCTTCCCAAATCATCGGTTGTCCCATCTGATGTCCGGGGAGGAGGATGCGCCAAGGACTGTCCACCTCCTGAGTGCCTAGTCAGGGGACCTAATTAGAGCAGGTGACGCTGGTCGGCGGTAGGGAGGTTTGGGAAACTGAGTCAAACCCCCTTTTTCAGGGAGGGCTTCTGAGTCTTGCTAATGTCGGTCTGGAGGTAGGGGAGACCGGGACATCATGTTTGAGTGCTATCAAAGGGTCTGAATGCCTCTCATCACCTCAAAATGGAGCCAAAGGTGTCCGGTAAAGGACTTGCCTCACAAGCCATCAGGACCCAAGTTCAAGCCTCAGAATGCACAGACAAAGCCAGGCATGGTGGTTGCAAATCCCGAGGTGGGGAGGCAGAGGCAGATGAGCCCCTCGGGCTTGCCAGCCAAGCTTCCTGGAGGGTTCCGAGCCGATGAGAGAGCCTGTCTCAAAGAAGGTGGGGGCTTTAAAGGAAAGACAGTGGAGACCGCCTCGGCCACCTTGCCCTCTTACAGGCACTGGAGAAAAGGATGCAGTTGCTATGGAAACTCCCCAGTCTCCACCTGCGGAAATTCTCGGCTGCTCCCTTCTCACTTCTCTCTCTGACCCTGTTTTTACCCCAGTTCCAGACGAAACCAACCCAGAAGTCCATCCAACCACTCCCATCCCGATCTGGGAAACCTACGGTGAGTGGGATGGGTCAGAGTTAGGGGGGACCCACCCATGCACCTCCTCCTCTGACGGCCTCACTCACGTCAGCCCACCGCAGCTCTGGACCCTCTATTTATTTTGTCCAGACACCACTGCTTTGTAGCCCAGGGTGGCCTTGAACTTAGGGCAATCCTCCTGTCTCAGCCTCTGGCGTGCTGGCATTACAAGCTGCCTGCGCCTATCTGGCATCCAATTCCATTGACTTAAAAACAAAATGATCTTTTTAAATTGACACACTTCCAAAAGTTGAACGCCCGATCTTTACAGACACTCCCTGTACCTGCTCAGCTGCAGCTCAGGTCCGTATCTCCTTACAATTGTTTTTCAAGTAGTTATTGTACTTTTTCTTGGAGTATAACATAGAGTGTTCCTTAATCATTTCTTTAGTTAATGATTAATGATACTGGAGACATGGCTCATTGGTGGAGACCCTGCCTAGAATCCCCCAGTGAGGGGCTGGGGTGTGGCTCAGTAGTAGAGCCCCTGCCTAGAATCCCCCAGTGAGGGGCTGGGAGTGTGACTCAGTGGTAGAGCCCCTGCCTAGAATCCCCCAGTGAGAGGCTGGGGACTCAGTGATTGCATGCCTATCATGTACAATGCTCTGAGTGCAATCCTTAGTAGTTCCCCAAATTAAGTATAAATTGTTTTATGCCAGCACGCAGGAAGCCACAGCAAGAGGGTGAAAAACTTAAGGTCAGCCTGGGCTACCTGGCAAGAGCCTGTGTTATTTTGTTTTTAGAGAAAAATTGTCCTAGCAGCGGACATGGACACACATATCATTCCCCTGCAGGGTTCAAAGAGACCCCACCCCTTGCCAGGCAGTGGTGGTGCAGAGGCAGAGAGAGAGGCAGGTGGATTTCTGTGAGTTCAAGGCCAGCCTGGTCTACAGAGAGAGTTCCAGAACAGCCTCCAAGAGAATACAGAGAAACCCTGTTTCGAAAAACCAAGAATCCTCACCCCATCCTAACAAAGTGACACCTGGTGTTTTAGACCGTGTACCACCATGAGGAGGGAGCTCTGCGGGCGAACGCGTCTCATCCCGTCACCCTCCCCTCCTTTCTTCCTGACTGGAATAGGGACCATGCAAAGCCAGACAGCAACCAAAACTGAGATCCAGCCACTGACAGGCATGGGCACCAGGAAGCCGGTGACAGATCCAGGAACACCGGAGACCAGCGAGGAAGGTAGAGCCTTGGCTGACAGCAGCAGCCTCTAGTTTTTGTTTAACGTCCTCCGTTCTGGGTCAGCATTCCCAAAGTGCTTTTCTTAAAGCACTTGCCTAGGGAATTGCTAATAAGCGTTCAGTGTGTGTGTGTGTGTGTGTGTGTGTGTGTGTGTGTGTGTGTGTGTGTATGTGTGTGTGTGAGAGAGAGAGTCTGTATGTGTGTGTCTCTGTATGTGAGTTTGTCTGTGTGTCTCTGAGTTTGTCTGTGTGAGAGCGTATATGAGTGTGTCTGTGTGAGTGTGTGTGAGAAAAAGTGTGTGTGTATGTGTGTCTCTGTATATGAATTTGTGTGTGAGAGTGTGTATGAGTGTGTCTGTGTGTGTGATAAAGAGTGTGTGTGTGTGTATCTGTGTGAGAGTATTATGAGTGTGCCTGTATGTGTGAGAAAGTGTGTATGTGTGTCTCTGTGTGAGTTTGTCTGTGTAAGAGAGTGTATGAGTGTGCCTGTATGTGTGAGCGTGTCTCTGTATGTGAGTTTGTCTGTGTGTGTGTGTGTGTGTGTGTGTGAAGTTATTTCGAGGATTCTGAGTTAAAATACAATGTCTCTTTATGGAAGATCTTCTCAGATCCTTGATGAAGCCACTTCAGAGCAAGCAACTCCATGCTGGAACATTCTAGCATGTCTAACCCTAATGCAACAGACAAGCTGAATGGCTGTTTCCCTATTTCTGGGCTGGCTGGCGCTGAGAAACGGAGTTGTGGGTTTCCTTTGTGTCTTTTTTTTTTCCGTTACAGCAGAAGCTTTTCAGTTGCAGAATAGATGTATTGGCTCAATTCTGTAAAATCTGAAGAGAAGGTGTCAAGCATAGCTGGACCGAGGAAGTTAGGAATTGTCCGTGTGTCTGAATTCTCCCTCATGCCTCTGCTGTCTTCATTCTCTTTCCTTCTTGGTGGCAAAGATGTCCCATACTTGAGCAGCTAGGAGACACATAACTCTTTCCCATAAGCCTGAAATGGACTTTCATTGGCCGGGTTGAGGTGGCATGTCCTTGTCTGACCCAATGGAAACCTGAAAAGTGGGTGGTCCTGATTGATCAGTGGAGCCTTGTCCCCACCTCACAGCCCAGAATCAGGGAGGAAGTAGTTTCCTCCAGACTGACAGGTTGATGGCGACCGCAGGTGAGAGGAAAGGGCCTGAGCTGAGACTAAGACAGTAGATGACCCTGATCCTCGTGTGGCATCAGAACTGATGACCCTGACCCTCACGTGGAATCAGAACTGATGACCCTGATCCTCGTGTGGCATCAGAACTGATGACCCCTGATCCTCACGTGGCATCAGAACTCTGGAGGCATGAGGCCAATGTGGGTTACGTGGCAGACCCTGTCTCCAATTTTTTAAATTAAACTAAAATGTAAAATACCCTGCTATTTTTAGTTCCAAAGCAGAGGGGATGCTCACAATATCTTCATTAAATATCTCCAGGCAGGTGGGGACCAAGTCAGTGAGATCCTGGCTTCTGCGCTTGGGTTATGGATGGAGTTCCTAGGAGAGGTGCCTGCCTGGGGGGGGGGGGATGCAGGCAGGTGCTTGCTGCCAGAGTGTTGGTGCTGCCCCCTGGATGCACAGATGTAGCCCCGTTATTACATCCACATGCCCACGTCTGCCCCTGTGGCCCCTCCTGCCAGCCACGGTCTTCCGATTACTTTTTCTGCCTGTCACCTAAAGGTACCACGGCGCTTGCTGGGATCAGGTCTCGAAGCCCAACCACAGCCTGGAAACAGCTCCACGTCCCTGAGTCACAAGGTTAGTTCCTCCTTTTCCTGACCAGAAACAGGCACTCGGTAGTTTCTGCTTGATGCGAAAAGTCTTCAGGGCCCGTGCCACGGAGGAAGGTAGGGGCGCCATGACGTCTGACCGGATAGATGGCGGCATGTACCTAAGCAGCCTAACAAGCCAGGTCTCCATGCATCGTGTCTAGGTGGCTGCTTTCCGAGCCCTGAATTCCGCTCGGCTGGGTGGCTCTATGATCCCTTGTGGACCAGCAGGGCCTCCATTTGGTCACCTTGACTCTTCCCCTCCGGATCCCATCCACCTGTCACCTACTCAGTCCCCGCTGAAGACGCGGGGGCCGTGTGCACAAGTCACCCATTCATCTATGAACTCAGCCCAGACTCATGTGTGTGCCAGGCGGCCACGAGCAGGGCAGACAAGTATCTTCTGCTGCTAACGGGCATGGAGGTGCATCTCTGCAATCCTTCTCCCGGGGAAGCAGAGCAGGAAGGCGGTTGCAAGTTTGAGGCCGGCCTGGGTTACATAGCAAGCTCCACGACAGCCCGGGCTATGCAGTGAGACCCTCTGAAGCTGCCACGTTAGTAGGGGGGGGTAATAATTGGAGTACTTATATATAGGGTGATTTTTTTCTTTAATTCGTTATCAAGAAAAACTGGGGATTACAGAACAGTCAGGGAGTGTTGCATGCACAGAACCAGGAAAGGGGCTCCGGTGAACCAAGTGCCAGAGGGGCCCTGCGGGTGTCTAGGAAAAGGCTGTTTACACGAAGGACCTAAGGGGAGTGGGTGTCCGGTTGGACTTGGGAACGGGAAGGCCAGTGGGTGCCAAGGTGACACAGATTGCACGGAGAAGGTTGCCGGCGGGCATGTCACAGTGTCCTCCGTCCCTTGTTCTGCCCTTCACTCATTCACTCCATCTCTGACTCACATCTCTCTGTCCCCTCTAGACTCGAATGAGCACAACCCCTTCTACTACGGTAAGTCACCGCCCCTCGGCTCCTCCTAACTCCCCACCGCTGGAGTAAGCGGGGAGGAGGGACAAGGACACCCCTCCCCCCCCCCTGCCTAGCTCCTCCATCTCTGTCCCCACAGATGATTTCACTCTGCGGAAACGGGGGCTGCTGGTGGCAGCGGTTCTGTTCATCACCGGCATCGTCATCCTCACCAGTGAGAGCCGGGCTTGGGCAGGAAGGGCGCCGAGACTCGGGGTGGGGCGGGTTGGGCTGCCTGGTGACTGAGGGTCAAGGTCTTGAACGCCCTGGGCTGGGCTGTGCAAATGCAGGTCGGTCCCCGTCGTCCCCCACCACGGGAAAGAGGTGACAGCCCCCGGCTGGGCGGCTCTTCGGGTTGCAGCGGTTCTGAGTCAGCAGGGGGCGCTGTTCCCAGGGCGCTGGCCGCTTCCCCGTTGTCTTCCGGGTTTGTTCACCTAGTGGTACCCAGATAAGAGAGGACGCCCAGGCGCAGACGGCTGCTAATGTGCCCACCACGCTCTGCTTTATTGCAAGCCAAGGGCCAGTTTCATTTGTGAGATGAGAAAACAGACTTCATGGTTTTGTTTTTCTTCCTTTTGAGACAGGGTCTCACCGTGCAGCCCAGGCTGGCCTTGAACTCACAACTCTTCTGTGTCAACCTCCCTGAGGGTTGAGATTATAGGTGCGTGCCACACCACTTGGAAGTTTTTGTTTGTTTTTTTGAGAAAGGGTCTCATGTAGCCCAGGCTGGCTTTGGACTTTCTATGTAACCAAAGATGGTCTTGAACGTCTTTTTTTTTTTTTAAGATTTATTTCTATTTTTAAATTTATGTGCATGGTCGTGTGTCTGTGTGGGTGTGTGCATGTGAGTACAGATGCCCATGGCAGTTGGAAGAGTGTGTTGGACCCCCCTGGAGCTGGAGTTGCAGGACATGTAAGCCTCCCTACATGAGTATGGATGCCGGGGGGGGGAACAAACCTGGATCCTCTCCAAAGGTAGGAAGTGACTAACCTCTAAGCCACCGCAACCCTGAACTTCCGACCCCCCTGCCTTTACCTCCCAAGTGCTTAGATTGTAACACTTGGTTAACGGCGCCCTGGGAATCAAACCCATCGCTTGGTGCGAGCTGGGCAAGCATTGTACCACCACATCCCCCCGCCATGCTGGGAGGTTTTTCCGTTGCTGTTACCAAATACTCGGCAAGGAGCAGCTTCAGGCAGTGGTTGTCCTGGTTTAGAGCTTAAGAAGGGATCCACGGGGCTTGGCAAAGTGTTTGCGTGAGGATCCGAGTTCAGATGCCCAGGCCCGGGGGTCAGCATGTGTCTGGGGCATCCCACCCCGTGCTGAAGAGAGAGAGCCAACCTGTGCCAACCAGTGTTGCTGAATCGGTGCTTGCCAGGTTCGGGGCGGGGGGGTGGGGGTGGGGAGCCTCTGTCTTCAAAGAAAATAGAGTGGAGGGTGATGGAGGAACACACTCCGTGCGCACCTCTGGTGGGGGAGGGCTGTAGCGGAAGGGGTCACGTGACAAGACAAGAAGTAAGAGAGCAGGGAGGAGACTGGCTGGTCTCTCTAGGACAACTCCTTCTGCTGAGGGTTAACTGACAGAGGACAGACTTCCTGGGTGCCCCAGACCCTGCCTCCCAAAGTTCCCGGGTCCCAGCACTGATGATGCATCTCTAAGATGGGCGTTTGGAGGGACACACCCAAGCCACATGACACTCCCGCTACGAGGCCCTGACGAGGCTGGCTTGCTCTGGGGGCTTCCGAGCGAGGCCCAGACGGTGAGGGCAAGTCCTCGCCAGCAAAGCAAGAGGTGGGGGTGAAATCAGAATGTCCTAAGGACCAGGTGACTAAAAGCTTCCCGGCTGGAGGGAGCAGCATCTTGGGAGGCCCAGGGGCAGAACACAGCTGGGCACTGATAGTGGCCGTGAGGAGAGGCTGGGCAGGGAGGGTCGGACAGGAGGCCGGAGAGGCAGCTGGGCTGCCGTGCCCTCCCATCCCCGGGGCGTCTTAAAATCTCTACCCACACCCAGTTAACCGATCCAGGCCTTGCCTCTCCTGTTCTCTGAACTCATCTCTGCCCTTTTATTCCAGGCTTTCCCACAGGCTGTTCTGTGCCCACTGCATTTATGTGTGTGTGTGTGAATGTGTGAGTGTGTGCACGTGTGTGTGAGAGTTAGTGTGTGTAAGAGTGTGTGTGTGTGCATGCATGTAGTACACATGTAGAGATCAGAGGACAACTTTCATGAGTTCTCTCTGTCTCTCTGTCACTGTCTCTGTCTCTGTCTCTCTCCCAATTAAGATTAGCCAGGTGGTGGTGCACACCTTTAATCCCAGCACTCGGGAGGCAGATCCAGGCGGATCTCTGTGAGTTCGAGGCCAGTCTGGTCTACAAATCGAGTTCCAGGACAGCCAGGGCTACACAGAGAAACCCTGTCTAAAACAAACAAACAAACAAAAAACTACAAAGCTTTATTTATGCTGTGTGTATGGGTGTTTTGCCTGTACTGTGTCTGCACACCAGAAGAGGGCATCGGATCCCACGGGACTACAGTTGTGAGCCATCATGCAGTTGCTAGGAATTCAAAACAGGACCAGTGGGAGAGCTCTTAGCCGTCGAGCCATCTCTTCAGCCCCTGGTTTTCTCTTGCAACCGCGTAGGTTCCAGGAATAGAACTCGGGTTGTCGGGCTCAGCCCCAAGCACCTTCAGTGACTGAGCCAACTCACTGACCCTATGCACACGTTTATGAAGTGGCCCGGGAGCTTCGCGAGGGCCTGCACTGGCCTGCCTGTCCCCTAGTCGGTCCCCGGAGTGCCTGTGATAATCAGTACTGTTCCCAACTCATGGGGGGACTGGCCCCTTTTCTTCCAGGTGGGAAGTGTAGACACTTGTCCCGCATGTGCCTGAGTCGCCACAGGTGAGTGGGGGCCGATGACACCCCGGCTGGAGCCTCCCTAGCACACCAGCTCACTCACCGCCCTCAGCCTCGTCCCTCCCAAGAGCCTGCAGAGTGGTCAGCACAAAAGGACTCTCCAAGGAAGAGGCCGCTGGAGGAAGCCAGGCTGCTCCCCACCCCGAGGGTGCCTGGCTCCCCAGGCACTGCCCGGCCCCGTATCTAACCTATTAAGATAAATCCACGTGGTCTTTCTCCCATGGCCTCTGTCTCCCGTGAGTTTGAGTCAGGGCTGGGCTTGGGGACCTTGGGAGCAGGCAAGGGTGCCACACGCTCCATAGTGGGGGACAAAAACAGAGTGAATGAGGAGGGGAGGCCTGCTGTGTGCCAGGAAGGAGGATGAGACCAGGGTCCTTGGGGGCAAGAGACGGGACCCCGGTCCAGCCCACTTCCAGAACTTGGGTTAGCACAGGCACACCTAGGTAACAGAGCACGAGTAAGGATAAAGTGGGGGCCCCTGTGTAGAGTGAAGCCTTTTCCTTGCCAGCCGCTTTAGTTTTTCCCCACCAGTCACCTGGGCTCTGCCGCGTTGTAGTCCCCAAATAACACACAAGACGCTGTATTAATTATGAAGCTGTTGGCCTTGCTTGTTTCTTACTGGCTAGCTCTGACTTAAGTATTTACCCCATAACCGCCAATCTAAGTATTTCTCTTACCAGAGAAGTTTCTGGGCTTCCTACCCCTATGGTGGTTACATCTTGGCTCCCTGTGTTTCTCCTACCCAGAGTCCTCCTGGACTCCTAGTCCCACCTATCTTGCTTCCCACATATACACAGGACTTCCCCATCACCCCTGTCCACAGTCACCCCCTTATCTTCACACTGCCTGTCCCTCTGCCCCTCGGGATACCTCATGCATAGGTGTACATATGCAGCCTGCACCCCCAAGCTTTGTCTCCCACCAACCCACAGGCGGGGCCTCAGGATACGGCTTAGGCCATGTCAGCCAGGGAGGCTGTGGGGCTGTGGGATGGGTTCTGAGCTGAGGGCAGACACTTCCTGGGGACCCTTGGACTCTACCTTATGGGTAGGGCTCAGCCAAATCTGGCCATTTCAGGCTCAGGGCCATGCGGGGAGGTGGGGATAAGTGGCTTCTCCAGGGTTTTAGTCAGGGTCACACTACAGTCAAGAGACCAGGTCCCAGGCAGGGGTTTGCACAACGCTGCTGTGGACACTTCAAGTGGGTTATGAAATCGTTCCAGCAGGCCCTGGCCACGTGAAAATAGGAAGAAATGAAAGCCTAAGGAAAGGGAAACCTTAGGCTGGGTGTGCAAATGAGCTGAGTGTATGCCCAGTAATGGCCAAAAGTTCCAGTTTGAACCCCAACACCCCAGAAAGCCAGTCATGGGATGTCCGCACTTCCAAGGGCCAGAACTTCAATGTCCTTGGCTGCATATCTCAAGTTCAAGTCTAGCCTGGGCTACATGTCTTAAAAAAAAAACTAGGCTGGGTGTAGTGGTGCACACCTGTAATCCTAGAGCTGGGGGGAGGGGGCAGAGGCAAGAGAATCTCTGTGAGTTCAAGTTCAGCCTGGTCTACACAGCAAGTTCTAGGCTAGCTGGAACTACACAGTGAGACCCTGTCTCAAAAAACAAGCAAAAAAAAAAAAAAAAGAAAACAAAGAAACAAAACTAAGTAAATGTAAGAAAGAAAACGTCAGTGTTTCATATAATAAATAAATCGTTCCAAGCAGATGGCCCAGTAGGGAGCGTGTACTCACAGGAAGGCCTGTGTTCGGATCCCCAGCACTCACGTGAGAAGCTGTGTGTGAGCCAGCAGTGGTGGCGCACGCCTTTAATCCCAGCATTGGGAGGCAGAGACAGGCGGGTCTATGTGAGTTCAAGGCCAGCCTGGTCTACAGAGAGAGTTCCAGGACAGCCAGGGCTACACAGAGGAACCCTGTCTCAAAAAACTAACAAAAGAGCCAGTTGTGGCAGCTTGGGGAGGAGGTACAAAAGCAAGCTAGTCTACTGGAAAAGCAGGCCAGGAGCAGTGAGAGATCCTGGCTGAAAAAACAAGGCCATGGGGCTAGGAAGCCGGCTTAGCTGCTAAGAGGCGTGCTGACTTCTGGCGCCAATGTCTGCTGGCTCATGACTCCAGCCCCTGGAGCATTTGGTGCCCTCTTCTGCCATCTGTAGTCACTGCACCCAAGTCACCCAACCATGAGCTCATGTGTGTGAAAATAACAAAAGGTTTGGAGAGCGTGTACTGCTCTTGCAGAGGGCTCCAGTTGGATTCCCAGTGCCCATGTTGGGTGACTCCATCTCTTACTCGAACTCCAGAAGGATCTGATGCCTCTGGCCTCCATGGACACCTACCTAGAGATGCTCTAGGCATGTGGAGGGGGTATGTGCAGACACTACATCATTTATGTAAGAGACCGGAACACCCATGGGTTTCGGTGTCCTAGGGGATCCCTGAAGACAGAGGGAGATGGTATCTGTCTTAGGAGAGGGGACTTGCAAACTTGCATTACGGATACCAACCACCTAGTCAGAGCAGGGGCAACTGCTGGGAGCTGTTTCCTTACAGCTGAAGCACTCCCTTGGCAGACTCAGGGAGTGACTTAGTGTAAACAGATCTTTCTCACAACCCAGGAAAAAATCAAAATCTATCAATCAGAAATAATCACCTCTCTCACACACACACACATGATCATTCACATACATGTGCAGTGTCTCTCACACATGCAGTCTCTCTCACACAAGTGCACACATACAAACACAGTCTCTCACACACGCAATCAGATCATTTAAAATGTCACTATTCTATTTTTTAAGGAGTCTCTCTCTCTCTCTCTCTCTCTCTCTCTCTCTCTCTCTCTCTCTCTCTCTCTCTCTCTCTCTCTCTCTCTCTCGCCCAGCCTGACCATTTGTGTCAGCTCCTGTTTCTACCTCCTGAGTGATTACAGACATGCACTTACCACACTGAACTTTATATGGTGCCAGGGACTGAACCCAGACTCTCCCACATGAGGGACAAGCACTTTACCAACTGAGCCCTACTCATTGTTGTTTTTATTACTGTTACCTTTTTTGAAGTTCTGAGACAGACTCATTACGTAGCCCAGGCTGGCCTCACACTCAATGCCCTCTGCCTCAGCTTCCCAACTGTTGGGATTATAGGTGTGTACCAACCATGTCTTGCTGATTTAATCAATATGTATAACCTGAAAAAAATAATACACGATGGCAAAAACGATACGAAGTTTATTCCCAACTGTGAGTCACTTTATTTTTGAGACAGGGTCTCAAAGGTAGCCCTGCCTATCCTGTAACTCACTATGTAGATTGGACTGTCCTTGAACTCACAGAGTTCCACTGGCCTCTGCTTCCCCAGTACAGTGATAAAAGGCGTGGGCCACTATGAACAACTGTGGGTCACTTTAAAAAAAACATTGCCCAGCCCTGTCACGGGAGGGAAAGTGCCCTTTATTATAGAAGCGTGTTTTTGTCCCTGGCTGGGTACTCACACATAGATGCTCTGTGATGTTCCTAAGACGGTACTTCCCAAGCATCAATCATGGCATCCTCCAACCTTTGTCACAATTCCCTTCACCTGTACAGTACACTGCTTTCATGTAAGGACCAACATCCTTTAACTTAATAAATTTACTCTAAAAGCCAGCCCTGTGGGAAGTCGATACTGTTCAATATAAATAGAAGATAGCCATTAAGATAACTGCAGCGAAAACACATAAGGACAAAGTATTGTATTGCATTCTAGCTGAGTATCAGGTTGCTGAGCAAGGGCTTTGAGCCAGAGACCAGTCTTCTCTGTTGGATGAGAACCGTCAAATATCAGGGACATGATTGTCACCCTGGCACCCAAAGGGATGGCAAGGTTTTGGAGGCTCAACCTGGCACCGGTTGCAAGTTTGAAGGTGCGTAAGGGGCCCCTCGGTCTTGTGGTTTGGATCTGAGTGTCCCTCAGTAAGGCTCTTGGGTTGAAGACTGGGGGTCTCAGCTAGCGATGCTGCTGAGAGGTAATTGGACCACGAGGGTGGCGGCATCATGATGGATTAACCCATCCGTGGACTCAGGGCTGGATGTGTTGTTAGGAGGTGCAGTCTGATTGGAGAAAGTAGATGTCTGGGGGTGTGGCTTGCCTTTGGCTCCTCCCCGTTACGCTCTGCTTCTTGGCTTCCCCGGATGTGAGCACTTTGTACTGGTTTTTTTTTTCATGGTGTTCTGCCTTGCCACAGATTCACAGCAACGGGACTGAGGATGCTGGACTGAACTCTCTGAAACTGTGAGTCAAAAATCAATACTTCTCCTACAGGTTGTGTTTGTACCAGTAGCAGAACGCTGGCATCTTCGGGTCTGATCACTCCTCAGAAGGACTCACAAAACCCATGGGTGCTGTGAACCTCATGGCCACAGAGGTTTTGTTTTTGTTTTGTTTTGTTTTGTTTTTGTTTTTCAATACAGGGTTTCTCTGTGGCTTTGGAGGCTGTCCTGGAACTCGCTCTGTAGACCAGGCTAGCCTCGGACTCACAGAGATTCGCCTGCCTCTGCCTCCCAAGTGCTGGGATTAAAGGCGTGCGCCACCAACGCCCTGCTCCACAGAGGTTTTTATTTCATTATTTTGCATGTATGGGTATTTTGCCTGCATGTGTCTGTGCACCACGTGTGTGCAGTGTCCCCAGAGGCCAGAAGGGGGCATTGTATCTCCTAGATCTGGGGGTTGTGAGTCACCACATGGGGTTTTAGCCTGGCCCTCTGGAAGAGCAGCCAGCACTTTTAACCTCTGAGTCATCGCTCCAGACCCTAGTCACAGCTTCTTACAGCAAAGAAACATGTTAAAACCCACCAGAGAAACAGAGGTCTGGGGGAAGACTCCAGTGGTCCACGCACAGTGCTCCCAAATAGTCGTTCCTGATGTGGTCATGTGTGGACAGAGTTAACTTCTTCAAGCAACAGCGTGTGACAGGGCACATGGAGTATTGCCAGCTGTCATGATCCCCATATCAAATGTCCCCGACAGGATCATTCTGGTTGTCTAGTCAGTGATGGCACAACTGTAAAGGCTCTAGAAACACAGAGCCTCACTGGAGGACATTGATTTCAGGTTGTATGTCTTTAAGAGTGATAGGATATGTGCTCTCTTGTCCATCCCTGATCTCTCTGCTTCCTGTCCACCATGAAGCGAACAGTCTCTCACACACACTGCAACTGTCAGGATGTCTAAGCCCATGGGCCAA